TTTGTAGCTTTGCAACTAACCCACTGTGAATTTCATTACGCATTTGTTAAGAGAGCTGAACTGATCTATTAAGATACTGGGGAGTTTTTGTTTTTTTTTAAGTCTGTGGCTTTACATGTGAAGTAGGATGGCACTGGCTAGAGCAGAGTGGGGCCTTGCAAATGCAAAGAAAGCAGGTACAGCACAGGGTCTGTCCACTTAGCCAACCTCGCACCAGGCATGTGGCAAATCTCCCAGAAACACTTGTTAAACGAAGAGGAAATGGTTTAGGCTTTCACTTTCCTCACTCAGGATCGCTACAGAGACTGTCTTAAAGAACTCAATACTTATTTAGTAAAACACATAATATGAAGATGAGAATAAGAACTGAACCTTGAGGACAGATGTAAAATAAGATTTTAATAAAAAACTGAGGCCATTTACTCTATTTTAATATTCTCGATGTATTAATCGACTGCAAAGGAGGCTCCCAGCAGGGAGGCCTTGTGTGTGTCTCACTAACAGGAAGTCTCGATGTGTGTCTTCCTTAATATTCCATGGAATAAAATCATAAGATGCCAAAGCAACAGTACTCAAATAGGAAAATGACTTGCATTTCCTAGTGCAGTGTTCTCTCGAGAATTTTAAGGTACTTTGTAAAGGTTTAGCAAAATTTATTGTTTCCCTAAATCTGTATTTCCTGCTGCTCAATGAGCTTTTAAGGTAAGTCAAAAAGAAATACTAACCTTTCTTTTTCTTTCTTTCTTTTTTTGGGGGGGTACAGTTCTTGAGACAGGGTCTCACCTTGTAGTGCAGGCTGGCCACAAACTCCTGATGATCTTTCTGCCTCGGCCTCCTGAGTGCTGAGATTACAGGTGTGTGCCACCACGCTCAACTACCAAGTTTTCAAAATCAACACACTGCATTGTTCACAAGAGAAAAAAGGTAGATGAAACTGAGTATCCATCTGTAGAAAGCGAGTAAGAAAATGTGCCCTCAGCTCTCAATGAAACAGTATTCAGCCTTACAGAGGAAGGAAATTCGGACACATTTCTATCATGGGTGAACTGTGAAGGCCCTAGGCAAAGCGAAGTACGCAATTCACAAAAAGACATATTGCATGATCCACTCATAGGAGGTACCTAGAGCAGCCAGATTCATGGAGACGGAAGCAGACGATGTTTACTGGGAGCTGGAGGTGAGCGGGCAGAGGGGGTTGCTGTTCATGGGTGCAGAGGTTCAGCTGTGAGAAAGTTCTGCAGATGGGTGGTGGTGGACAGTGGCGGTGGCTGCAGAATAACACGAATGTTACAAAACTGTGTGTTTGAAATGGCTCGAATGATAAAATGCATGCTTGTACTTTAACATAATCAAAAAAATAAATAACATATTTTCCCCAACGAATCTCTTGCCCCTCCAATATTCCTACCCAGCTGCGCTAGCAGAACCCTGGAGATTCTCCCCGGGCCACTGACGCACCTTCCTCCCACATCCGGTCCCAATCCCGCCGAGTCTCCCCTTGAATCTCCATGGCACTGCCCAGGCTCGGGCTCACATTTCTCACCTTCACTCCTACAAACTCCTAACTCAGCTCCCACCTCTGGCCTAAGCCGGGCTCCACGCAGCTGAGAACCTTTAGGTCCTGTGTGGCGTCCAAGCCACTTTTCTACCCGGAAGTCTTAAAGTCGCAGCCACAGAATAAAACCCAACTTCTGCTCTAGGCAAGGAAGGGAATCCCTCAGAACATGCCTCCTGTGCCTTCACAGGCTCAACTTTCCTAACTCCTTCACAGCTCTAGTCACTCTGAGCTCAGTCCCTAGATATGTCATGTTCTTTTATGCTTCCCTGTATGTTGAGATGCCCATCTCTCTTTTGCCATCGGATGATTCCTCCTCATTCGTCCCAGCTTAGGTCAAGGAGCCAGGCCTCAGAACCTTCTCTGTCTATTCTCCCTCCTTCCTCCAACAACAGGATCCCAGCCCAAGCCCATTCAGGAATTTCCTTCTCTGTACAGCTCTGTCAGAGACACTGTGTGTTTGGTTCCACAGCATCTTCGATGAAGTGAACCATCACCTCTTCCAATAAAGCGAGTAACAGATATTTTGGTTTCCCAGTGCACATAAATTATTATACTGTAATGTTGTCTATCAAGTGTGTACTATGTCTAAAAAACAGTGTGTATAGCTTAATATAAAAATATTTTATCACTAAAAATGCTAATGATCACCTAAGCCTCCTGTATACTATATATACTGGCAGTTCTGGAATGGAACCCAGGGCCTTTACACTGAGCTACATCCCCAGCCCTTTTTATTTCTGAGACTGGGTCTCGCTAAGTCACTAAGTCCCAGATGCCCAAGCTGGGCTCAGACTTTGCATCCTCCTGCCTCAGTCTCCCGGAGTGCGTGTGCCACAGTGCCCAGCTCATGTGGCGATGCTCTTTGACAGCATTTACTCACAGAAAAGCATTCAAAACTGGAGTCAATCCTCTCAAATCTTGCTGCTGCATTATCAACTAAGTTTATGTAATATTCTAAATCCTTTGTCATTTCAATGATGATGTTTTACTATCTTTATCAGAGCAGATCCATGTCAAGAAACTTTTTCTTTGCTCACCCATAAGAAAGAAGCAATTCTTCATCTGCTAAAATGTCAGGAGAGCCAGGCGTGGTGGCACATGTCTGTAATCCCAGCACTTGGGAGGCTGAGGCAGGAGGACCATTATGAGTTCGAGACCAGCCTGGGCTACATAGTGAGTTCCAGGTCAGTCTCAACTACATAGTGAGACCCTGTCTCAAAAGAAACCCAAAAAACAAAATAAAATGTCAGGAGAGCCAGGCGTGGCGGCACATGTCTGTAATCCCAGCACTTGGGCGGCTGAGGCAGGAGGACCATTATGAGTTCGAGACCAGCCTGGGCTACATAGTGAGTTCCAGGTCAGTCTCAACTACATAGTGAGACCCTGTCTCAAAAGAAACCCAAAAAACAAAATAAAATGTCAGGAGACTGCGTCCATTCAGTCCGCATCTCCACTTCTAACGCTGGTTCCCTTGCTTTTCCACCACTCTGCTGTTATCTCCTCCACTCAAGCTGTGAATCCCTCAGTCATCTGGAGGAATGGACCCAGCTTCTTCCAAACCCCTGTTAATGGTCAGTATTTTCACTTTCTCCCTTAATGGCATCTGGAATGGTGGATCCTTTCCAGAAGGTTTTCGATTTCCTTTTCCCAGGTCCATCAGAGGAATAAGTCATCATGTGTGGCAGTTATGGCCTTGTGAAATGTATTTTTTTTTCTTTAAATTCTTTTTTTTTTTTTTGCACTGGGGATCGAACTCAGAACCTTGTGCTTGAAAGTGGGTGGCGGAACCACTGAGCTAAATCTCCAGCCCGAAATGTATTTCTTAGGTAATGAGACTTGAAGGCTGAGATTACTCCTTGTCCCACACGCTGCGTTGGACGTTGTGTCAGCAGGTGTTACACCCCCACCAGAGTCTGGGGTGGCACAGTATCTGAAAGGAGGCTCCTCTGAGGGGCCTCTCTTGGCAGTGGCTCACCCTGCTACAGACAGAGGTGCTTGCTTGCCGCACTTGGGCAGCACAGGCAGAGTAGACTTAGTGCGGCTCCTGAGGGCCCAGGGCTGGGAGCACCACACAAGAGCAACGGCCTAGGGAGAGAGGCAGGCTGTGTTCCGGGCACAGAAGCCCGGCACGTCTGTATTGCAGAGAAGGCTTCTTCCCTACAACCTCATGAGCCAACCTCTGCCAGCTTCAGACTTTCCTTCTGCAGCTTCTCTCAGCCTTTACAGAACTGAAGAGAGCTGGGCCTTCCTCTGCATTAGGCCTGGCTGGATCTATCAGTCCACCAACCTTGTCCATATTAGCAAAAGGCTGTTTCACGTTCTCGCTGGAGCAGTGCTTGCCACTTCTCTCTGCATTCACCGTCGGCTGCTTGGAGCCTCACTTCCGGCCCACCTCGGGCTTTGACCTGCCTTCCTCACTCAGTGCAGTCATCCCTAGGTTTTGATCTCAAGTGACAGGCAGGTGGCTCCTCCTTCCACTTGATCACCTAGAGGACACTGTGGGGTTACTAACGGCCTAATTTCAGTACTGCTCTGTCTCAGGGAATAGGGAGCCTGAGGAGAAGGGGAGAGGTGGGGAAACGGCCAGTCTGCGGAGCGGTCACAGCACACACATTTACCCACCAAGCTCATGGTTCAAGGCACCCCAAGACAGCGACAGAAGTAACATCAAAGATCACCGCGAAATACATAAGGAAAGAGTTTCAAGTATCTGCGAGCCCCAAAAGGTGACCCAGACATACGAAGTGAATGAATGCTGCTGAAAAAAATGATGCCCATACAATTGCTTGATGTGGAGTTGCTGCAAACCTTGAATTTGTGAATACCGCAATTATGCAAAGGAGAATGCAACAGAATAGGAGTAAGGTCTATTCATGCTATTCCTTATATTATTCCCTATATGTACTGCACAGTATTTAAATATTTGTCCAAAGAAAGGGCCCTGAAAAACAAAAACAAAGAAAGGGCCCTGGAGCCAGCCTGCCAGGGTTCTAATTCAGGCCAGCAATTACTACAGAACTTTTCAAGTTACCTAGCCCCTCTGAGCCCAGGTTTTATTAGTTATGAAATGGGGATTATAGTTTCGACTATGGAGATTAGTTGTGAAAATGAGAAAGTGCTCAGAGCTGCACTGGTTCCTAACAGGTATCATTAGCAATGGTAGTGGTGCTAGTAATAGTACAGTATTTTTTTTCCAGTACCAGGTATCGAACTCAGGACCTTGCACTTATGAGGCAGGCACGGTGACACTGAGATAAATCCTCAACCCAATAGTATAGTATTTCTGACACAAGACAGATACTTCCTGCAAAGTAAGGTAGTCCTAAAGTCTTGAAAGCATGCATTCAAACAGTATTTATAGAAACAACAAAGTCAGAGAAGGAAGAAGGAAGGGAAGAAGGGGAAAACAAGAAAAAAAAAAAAGGAATTGGGAAAGACTTACCACCATTTTTGCCTACGGTTCGGAAGCATCTCCAGAAGGCCCGTAAAAATGATGCCCTGTTGTGGGGGGTGGCTTGGATGAAGCTGAATTCCCGAAAGAGGATGTGAGTTCCCTGGCACACACTGTTAAAACTGCAAAGAGAAAAATTTAAAAACTATCATTAGTTGGAATTTAGGAGACTGGAATCAGAATAAAAATTCAAGACCAACAGAACCACTGCCAAAAAGGAGGGGGTCTTTTTGCTCCCCAACAAAACTTTGAACTATAGATGAGACCAAGTCCTTCTATGGGGAAATCCCTTCATATAACCACATCGCTCTGAAAACTCATGGAATCCAGCTCCTTTGAGGGCTTCCATCCCAACACGTAATCCTAAGAAGCCCCTCAGTCACCAGTGTGTTTCAAAAAGGGGGCACACTTCCAGTCTTTACCCAGATGACGCTGGCACTCCTATCTTTTCGTAGAACACTTCTCCCTATACCATCTTCCAGAGAGATTCTTTCTCTACTGTCCCCAAACCTATACCGGCTGCCATAAGCATGTCATGGCTTATGGGGACACAACTGGACTGTCTGTCCAGCATGGGCATGGTTAGGTACACCTCCCCGACATAACCCAGAGACAAATCCTTTGTGCCAAAGGATGAGAGGGCCACCAGGGGTGATAGGAACAAGGGTAGAGGGAAGCCCCTGGGTGAGACTGGGAAGCCAAGCCTTGGGGCCCAAGTGAGTCATTGTTAAAACTGGACCAGGGAGGGAAAAAACACACTTCACTGCCTTTGGGTTCTCCTGCCAAAGAAATAAAGGCCTAGGAGCCTGGTGTAGTCTAAAAATGGAAATTCCACGGAAGAATAGGCAATTATCCAGTAATCATCCATACCATGGCAGATTGCAGGTTCCAGAAAACTCCTGACTTCTCTGACAAGTAAGTCTTGAGTGGAAAACATATTAACAGTTGTGGGGCAAGCCTTACACTGAAGATGGCAGGTCCTGGAGGGAAGCTTGTAATGCCAAATGGCAGTTTTCATTTGCTGATCATTTAAAGGTGGCTGTGTTTAGTTCCTAGTCCACAGAGAAATTTAGACTGGTTTTACACATATTCCTTAAATTTTCTCTTTAGAAAATTTTATGTATCGTTACCCTGTGTTTGGAACAAATTAGAGCCTCAAGTCATAAACATGGCAAGACAACATCACAGGAATCTAAAACAAACTTTCTACCTACAAACTGCAAATGCATGTTCATGCTAATTTTTTGTTGTACTTAGCTAAACTGAAAAGCATTTTAGTAGACACCAATCCTTCTTCTAAAATAAAACAAAAAAAGTTCCTAAAGATATTTGAAAGGCCGAACAGAAGTGTACCACATGCCTGTCTTGGACAGCTCTGTCCAGAACCAGTATTTGAATGTCCCTGAGCAAAGTCTTTCATTCTTTGAGATGTTGAGGTTTTATTTTGAAGATTTTAATCTTTTAAAAGTTTGAAATGATTTCAAATTTACCAAAAAATTATAATAACAAAGAATTCTAAAATACTCTTCACCTAGATTACATTTATTCTCACTTACACACAAATCCCCTCCCCGCTTCCTTCCCTAGACACAGACACACACGTAACATGCACATATCACTGCTTTTTATACTTCTGGAGTAAGTTGTAGACATGATGACCATCTATCCTACACATTGTAAGGAAACTAAGGAATTTGCTTATATTGACAATATGATAAACAGACCAGTAAATTAAAATGGGTACCATCCTATAAGCTATAGACTATACCAAGAGTTCACCAATGGTCCCAAGATCGCACACTGCATTCAGCTGTCCTGATTCTAGACTTCTTAATCTGAAAGAGGTCCTGAGCCATTGTATTTTATAACACTGACTTTTTTTTTAAAGAAAGTATAGATTACTTTGCAGAATGTGCCTCAAACTGAGTTTGTCTGATGATTTCTCTTGATTGGATTCAGGATTATTGCAAAGTTGAGGGTGGGCTCCTCTCCCACATCGGGGGGCCCCTGGCATGGATTAGTTAGTGGTGATGCTAACTTTCCTCATTTGGTTAAAGTGAACCTGCCCGTGTCTCCTACTACTGTGAAGTCACCCTTTGCAGTCAGCAAGCGTGGCATGGAGAGGACTCCTGAGGCTGTGGGCCTGTACTGTTACTCCTCAAACTTGTCTTTGCTGATTTCAGCTTCTATTAATAATCTCTGCCACAACCAACAACGATGTCATGGTTTCGCCAAAGGGCATCTTTTTCTAATTACATCATTTTACTTACATTTGTAAGTTGAATTTCTACAGTAAGAAAGAGTGTTTCCTTATTTATTTATTTACAGCTGCTGGATTCATGGATTCTCTCTTTATCCCAAGGGACTCCTTGCTATTGTAATTTACCCAGACAGCCCAGGTTTGGTTATGGAAGCCCCTTCAAACCCATCAAGTCCACATAATTCTTTGATCAGTTCTTTCCTTTATGATAGAATAAGATGTTCCAGACTCATTTAGTTCTTCCCTCCCCACCCTGGAACCAACCATTTCTCCAAAAAGCCCGCTTACTTTTGGTAAAGGACAGTGAATAGAAACCAAGCCCAGGAAGGTGCTGTGTGTGTGAGTGTTAGCTGCTCTGTGTACATCGCTGCTTCCAGGCTTTCTCAGCATACAGGGTTAGGAAGGAGATTAAGGGCAGTGCGTCAGTGGTCCCAGCTAAGTAGGAGGCCGAGGCAGGAGAATCACTTGAGTCCAGTGGTTCAAGGCCAGCCTGAGCAACACAATGAGACCCTGGCTCTTACAGAAAAAAGAAGGAAAGAAGTTAAGAAGCAAAGGAGGGAGGGATGGAAAGAAAAAGTGAGAGAAGAAAGAGAAAAGGAAAGAAAAGATTAAACTTGATATAAACATACTATATGTGCACACACAACCATGTCCACATATACACAAATCAAAACCCACAGGTTCACAATGACCAAATTTAACCCACAGGATTCCTTCAACCCTTCCCCCTTTCCATATCGGAAACTTCTGAGAAATCTGCCTATTATCTATGTTTACTTATTTGGCTCAATCCTAAAACATATAGAAATGACTAACCTCTTCCTCCCAAGAAAAAGAAGCTAATTAATTAGAGTTTAATACTTTTTTTTTTTTTTAAAGTTGTGTTTAGGCTGAGGACACAAAGTCCAAGTACTGTGTTCAAAAGTTCCTAGCTCAGTCTCACCAAGTCCTATCTGGATGGTTACATTTTTCATTTGAAATACAATTTGTTTCTTCTGTTTCTGTTGGCATTCAATGTTAGCATCCTCCCAACCTTATTTAGTATACATACATTTACTACTTGTATATATGAAATATTAGGCCGGGGATTTAGCTCAGTAGTCCTGCTGCCTGCTTCGCAAGCGGAAGGTCCTGAGTTTGATCCCCAGTACCAAAAAAAAAAAAAAAAAAAAAACCCAACAACAACAACAAAAACATAGTTCCAGGGCCAGGCGTGGTGGCGCACGCCTGTAATCCCAGCACTTGGGAGGCTTAGGCAGGAGGATCGCTGTGAGTTCGAAACCAGCCTGAGCTACATAGTGAGTTCCAGGTCAGTCTCACTACATAGTGAGACCTGTCTCAAAAAAACAAAAACAAAAAACAAGAACAACAAAAACATAGTTCCAGGGCCAGGCGTGGTGGCGCGCGCCTGTAATCCCAGCACTTGGGAGGCTTAGGCAGGAGGATCGCTGTGAGTTCGAAACCAGCCTGAGCTACATAGTGAGTTCCAGGTCAGTCTCACTACATAGTGAGACCTGTCTCAAAAAAACAAAAACAAAAAACAACAACAACAAAAACATAGTTCCAGAAGTAACAGCTATACTAAAAAGCATTTGCAGATGGTGCCTCCCACACCCCACTTCTATTTTTTCACTCCATTCCACAAATACCCTGTAAGTAATGAATCTCACTGGTATTCGGTTTATTCTTTCTCTGTGCATATTTTTCCTCAAATGAGCAGATATATACATAATTTTTATTTTTCCTCTTTTACACAAAGGTAGCATAATTCAGGTAATTCTTTTGCCCAATTAATAGAGATTCAATTGTTTCAATTTAAACTGTGAATGAGAAGTTCAGTGAATCTCTCTGGATCCTTTGGCTACAAGCAAAGCAAACTTGTCAGTGTTATAGTTTAGATGGAGAATGTCCCTCAAAGCCTCAGGTACTCAGAAATGGGGATTTGGGCAGGCAATTAGATCATGGGGTGATTTAGCTGACTGGCTGCTAGGAGGCAAGGTCTGGTCTGAAGAGGAAGTCACTGGCAGTGGACCTAGAAGGGTGCACAGCCCTCCTCTGTCTGCTCCCTGATGCCAGCTAACAATGGACTGAAAACCATGAGCCCAGATAAACCTGTCCTCCATCAAGTGGGTGTCTGGTACCTTGTCCCAGCAATGAGAAAATAACTAAGACAAATCTTACAAGGCATAAATTAATTCATTAAAATGATCTGAGTACAAATATTTCTTAAATTGATATTAATAAGAAAATAAGATAAATTCAATAATTTCTCCCATTTTATTATCATAATGTTTAATTAATCCTAGGGCAGTTTTCCCCCATATACTCTGTATATTCATAATCTAAAAATCTAAAATATGAATTGTTCTAAAATCTAAAACTTTTGGAACATTTCAGATTTTGGGTTTTTGGACTGGGGATGTTCAGCTAGTAAAATCTATGGAAATATTCCAAAACCTAAAATACTTCTGGTCCCAAACATTTTAGTTAAAGGATACTTATCATATAACATAGCATGAAAATGCAATAAAAGCTGTGTTTAAAAGTTCGTGATTTTATAATCAGATATTTGTAAACATGTTTAGGTAGTAGACTTTTACGTAGGCAAACTCATACATAATTCCTTAAGTGGTGTGTTTTTCTCCTGCGTAACTAAAGACGTCAATTCTAAGAATTTGCTTACAATGGCAACTCTACATAGACTCCCGGATATCACTAGCTAAAAGCCAGAATTGATTTAGATTACTTTAGTGAAGTAGCCAGAAGCTCAAGGACAGCAAAGAAATAATAAAATAGAGAGGTAACCACAGTAGATTGATAGAAATAGCTCTTCACAGTCCACATGTAGATGTAAGAGAGGGC